TTAAGATTGAAATACAGTGAATGGTCCTTGCACTACTGTTCTATAATTTTTAAACCTACTTCCATTCTTTCGCAGAGTATGTTTTCAAAATTCCCTGTCTGCAGATTGACCAGGTCATCTGCATATGCTATTGTGTAGTGACCGTCATTATTGAGACGGCTGATGAGGGTGTCAAGGACCATATTCCACAGTAGAGGTGATAGCACCCCTCCCCGTGGACATCCCCTCGCAACCAAGCCTCTTATATTGACATCTTCTCTACACTTTTGTTTACTGTTCGCTTTGATAGCATGTTATGTATCCACCCACTAACCATTTGTGGAACATTTCTGTTGGTTAGTGAGTGTATTATCTTTGGGAAGGTGGTTTTATCAAAAACACCTTCTATGTCTATGAAAACACCCAAGGCGGACTCCTTATTGTCCAAAGATCTTTCTATCCGGCCAGAAACTAGATGAAAGGCTGAATCAGTAGATCTGCCTGGGGTGTATGAATGGGTGTAGTGGTGTTGTTGTAATCACCGCATCCCTTATGTATCTTTCGCATAGCCTTTCCAATGTCTTCATGGAAAACGATGTCAGACTAATTGGTCGGTATATTTTTGGGACAGTGTAATTCATCCTTCCAGGTTTATTATTTATAATACACACGCAGACCTAAACACCTAAAGGAAATACATCGAGCGTAAATAATAAAGTGTTTATTTTTATTTAAGCTAACCTGTGTAATTACGGACCCATGCTATTTGTTTTCGTTAATACGAATTCAACGTAGAAAACTCTCAAATCACCAAGCAAGTAACAAGCATGCGCGAAAGGCGATCAAGTCCTGATAATTGATATTAGGCAACTAATAACGTATATACATTTTTTTATGGATTTTCTACAAATATTTCGTAATTTTCCAACGTAGTGTTACCTCTATAAAACGCACAGTTATGCCATTTTTTTATTAGGTCAGCAGGATCTTGTAGAGTTCTACTAGTAGTACTGGTACTCACTGGTAGTCACGACCTACTTGAATTCAAAGTTATTTTCTCATGTCGTGGGATATATTTGAAAATAATCTATTCTACACTATACTTGCGAAAACACTGTTTCCTTTATCGTTACTATTTATTAACCAGTTATACAGTGTGTCGCAAAAGGTATACAGTCTACATGTGGAAAACTTTTTTACTCACAATTGGTTAGTAATCTGTCGATTTATAATATTCAAAATAGTTGAGAACTGACTTTCATAGCATGTGTCATTTCCTTCACAGCATATGTCATTTACTATAACACGCTTCGTAAGTGTTCTAATATCCTCCCTGTTTTTTCCTGAATTATAACCTAAGTAGCTTTTTCTGTAGTTACTCGTAGTTCTGGTGGGATTAATTCAAGTTAATTGTCAGATATATTTGTAACTGACTAAATATTTATCTAACTCTCAGATTCAACTAACTTGTTATATTGCCTAACAACGGTTTCACAGGTATTTCAGTTACAAATTTTTATAAGATTATGATATAAAATAATACCAATATTATTATTTGAAACTTATACAAAATAGGAGATTGTAAGTAAACTTTTATACATACCTCGGTAAATTCATTTTAGCTTCGCGTTTGTAGCTTACCTCGGTGCTTTGCACCTCGCTAGTCTACCTTGAGACTCGTCTGCAATATAGTACTATTCAACTCGTTTTATAATATACTATTATTGTTGATTTATTAGAAAATTTTAAAATAAAATCTGGTCCATGACATAAAACCTAATATAAAATTCACAAATATTAAAAAAAAAATAATAAGTACGAGGGTGGGCAAAAAATATGAATTTGGCTCAAAAGAAGTTATTTTTAAAGAAAGAAAAATATATTACTAAAAATATAAAATCACACAGCTACCTGTTGGAGTGATGCTCGAAGTTTGAATTGCATTTAGCTGTCTTCTAAAATCAACTCGTTTAAATTATGGAAAATTGAACAACTTACAAACATTTAACCATAAAGGATCTAACCGACAAAGTATTACAGTTGAAATTATCCCAATTAAAGAGATCCTCGAAAAGGAAGAGTCATAGGGAATAAGCGAAGTCGCTCTCGGTGGTGTGACGGCAGCGCGGTGTCGGCGGAAAAAGAGGGCATAAAAGCCCTGTCGCCACTTCATTACACCCCAAATGATACTTGTGGAATTCGTAATAAAGCAAGAATGCGGGATGTGCGTCTATAAATATGAGTATCTATTTAATATAGAGCGGTAGGAACAGAAAGACTCGTAAACGCCGCCTTTATGTACGGGATTAGCGATAGCGGTCACTTTTATTTCACTTTATTGACACTTGACGGTCGTTTGGGGTGATGGTATTTGTTTTGCGGTGTCTCCGAGACGCCCTATATAGCCGACAGCGTAATATCGTTAATGCTAATAGTAATGAGAACGATAACGACAATGAGAATGATAGTTGGAGACTGGACAACTGGAAAATTCATAGGATGACCACTAAATTACGAAATAACGGCCATTTTCCATATTTTTTCCGCCACGTACAGTGCGTCCATTAAATAACAAGTTCCTTATTGCCACGATTCACACAACAATGGCAGTAAAATAACAAAATGACTGCGACAACAATTATATGAAAAAGTAAAAAGAATTGCAGAATTTCTAAATGAGCTCTAAATAAAGCAAAGATTAAGCCTTATTATGAGCAATTTCTGTCCTAATAAGGAGTGATCCACAAGCAATGTTTCTAAAGGATGTTGGAACATTCAAATCCACTAAATTCGTTTCATCAGTAGTTCTAGATATGGAAAACGACGATCGCATTGGCGTTGTGTAAGAGTAATGTAATTTATTTTGTAATAGTAGTTTGTGCAACAATATTTGTATAATCTAAGGTGATCCCCTAAATAATAAAAATATTTAATAAAAAAAAGTTTTACAGGTTTTGATGGGTATATTTATCATTAAAACTGGAACTGGCGGAGCTGCTGCATTCAACATCTTTTATTTCTTCTTTCATACATTTATTCCTATTTTTGTATCCTAATGTAAAGGGTTCTCTTCGGCAATTCTTTTCTTGGTATCATTCCTTTTCCACGTACTTTCATCTTAAACTCGTTTTTTGTTTTCTTTTCTTTCTTTTCTTGTGAACTGTTATCATTTTCATAGTCACTTTCGACCAATAAATTAAACACACGAAAACGCCTAACTCTAGATCCGCGGTCTTCGGGGCAAAAATAAGGGTCTTTATAGGAGTCTTCTTATTCTTCATTTGGGCTACTACTGTTCGATATATTTCAATATACTTTATAAATATAATTTAAAAACACTAGAGTAACCATTAAGAATAATGTACCGCGAAAGCAATTTACATAAACACAATGTCTACTGCGACATAATAATATATACCATCGGCAGTGGCGTAGCCAGGAATTTTTCATAGGGGGGTTTCCATAAACAAAGTGAAATATTTCAGATATTGTTTTTAGAGATAAAAATGTGAATAGAAACAATAATAGCGATCGGCACCAATATGATAGTGTCCAAAGAGCAGTAGAACACAAGGAACATCGGCATAATGACTAATAAAAGTATCTAACCTGTCTCAGCCCGTTTCACGATTACAGGAACAATACGGACTACATTTTTTTATAATAAATTAGCCTTTTATTAAAAAAAAAAAATTAAAAAGGGAATTGGTATAAGTAATGCTCCCCCCCCCGAAAATTCGACCTGGGGCCACCCTTGGCTGTACGTTTAGACGGTCGCCCAGTTTTTCGACAACCGCTCTAAATAACTGCACATAATTTGTCAAAATAATGTAAAATCCATTGTAGTCAAACACTAATTCAGGATGTTCTTTATTTACTTTCACACCTGTACGGAAGTAATATTCGATAATTTGTCAATAATAATAATAATAATAATAATAATAATAATAATAACAATAACAATTGTAGGAGGTGGTATTTAGTTATTAGTGTGTTGTTATGATTATTATGTTGATGGAAAATAAAGGACTAATTTTGATGTTGTCATAAATAAAATTATTATATTAGACTCCTTTTAATTGTCCATTACAACTTCACCAACGCCCCTTATAACAATGTTTCAATTTCAAGGTTAAAATATCATTCTGTAGAAGTGGCTAAAGTACAAACCCAAAACATTTAAATTTCAGAGCCAACTCCAATTATGCTTTTTCTCGATGGCGCTGCTTGTTATTTTATGCTTCTTGGCTTCTATACACTTGTCACTCGTTCAGTGTACGTGTGTATTGACAGCTCGGAACAAAATAGAATCAATTATCTCAGCAAAGAATTCGCAAAGAAGAAAGACACTTTAATTTGAATGGAAAGACGCTGGCGGATGCCTTCGTGACGCCTCGCCAGAAATGAGACGTCAGATGCAACATTCGCCTAACAGCATCCTCGGAAACTGTCTGGTTGTTGTGTTCCTTATTTCTTGATATTTAGATATACCTACGGGGTACAACAAGCACTTATTACAAAGGGCGTAATAGATTTAAGTACGATTTTTGCCACAAACAAATCGTACTTTGAAACTTCTAATAACTATTATAAGATTAGTAAATTCTAAATAAGAGATATTGTTAACATGACCTTAATGTCGCTATAGCAACTAGGATAATCCCGTTAACAAATCATCTTAACAATGGTCGATTAAAGAATTAACATCGACTTAAGTGTAAATCAAACAAAGTTTGCGGCTGTGACACTGTTACGCAGTAAAGTTACTCTTTAATATTGACAAAGATAATGGTTCGACAAACATTGACCACTTTTTTCCGTAAAGTTTTAATAATACCAGAATTTTAAATAATCAGGTACGGTAAGAATAAATATTTTTTCAAGTAATGTGTCTAAAATTAAAATGCGACGTTCTTACAAATATTATTGAGAAAGTGTATATAATTATTTAATCATGTACAAGGAATTTAATTAGTATCTATGGTATGACGCAACTTATACGAATATATAAGCCTAAAAATATGATTACAAAAGGTACTATTAATTATATTTTATAGTATCCCGACATCGAAAATAATTAACAACTGTCCACTAAGAACTGATCATATTAATAAACTCCTTGCCAGGCTGGTTCACTCTTAATTTAAAAACTATTCTGCAAATAAAAACAAAGCATTATCAAAATATAAACAAACTAAAACCCAGGAAAACTGGATTTAATACAAAAGACTTCGAAATTTTTCTCTTAATTATATCAGAAACGAAAAAAAGGAATATATAAATCATTTAGAAAGACAAAAAATTCTATATACTTTTAGAAAGCCTTAAAAAGTATGCATATCCAAACCTCTAAAAAATAAAAAATAATCAAATACCTAATAATATGTCAAACCATTTTTATATTAACTCAACTTTTACAATAACTGATAACATCAACGTACAACGTCTATCATAAAACTGAAATGTGACGTCAGAATCATCGAACCTTCTCAAACCGTCCAGATGTTTCTTGACACGAAATAACTTTTCTAGACATTTATAGACAGACATTTATAGACATTTATAGACATTTATAGACATTTATAGACATTTACAGACATTTACAGACATTTACAGACATTTATAGACGCTTATAGACGTTTATAGACGTTTATAGACGTTTATAGACGTTTATAGACGTTTATAGACGTTTATAGACATTTATAGACATTTATAGACATTTACAGACATTTATAGACATTTATTGACATTTATAGACATTTATAGACATTTATTGACATTTATAGACATTTATAGACATTTATTGACACTTATAGACATTTATAGACATTTATAGACATTTATAGACATTTATAGACATTTATAGACATTTATAGACATTTATAGACATTTATAGACATTTATAGACATTTATAGACATTTATAGACATTTATAGACATTTATAGACATTTATAGACATTTATAGACATTTATAGACATTTATAGACATTTATAGACATTTATAGACATTTATAGACATTTATAGACATTTATAGACATTTATAGACATTTATAGACATTTATAGACATTTATAGACATTTATAGACATTTATAGACATTTATAGACATTTATAGACATTTATAGACATTTATAGACATTTATAGACATTTATAGACATTTATAGACATTTATAGACATTTATAGACATTTATAGACATTTATAGACATTTATAGACATTTATAGACATTTATAGACATTTATAGACATTTATAGACATTTATAGACATTTATAGACATTTATAGACATTTATAGACATTTATAGACATTTATAGACATTTATAGACATTTATAGACATTTATAGACATTTATAGACATTTATAGACATTTATAGACATTTATAGACATTTATAGACATTTATAGACATTTATAGACATTTATAGACATTTATAGACATTTATAGACATTTATAGACATTTATAGACATTTATAGACATTTATAGACATTTATAGACATTTATAGACATTTATAGACATTTATAGACATTTATAGACATTTATAGACATTTATAGACATTTATAGACATTTATAGACATTTATAGACATTTATAGACATTTATAGACATTTATAGACATTTATAGACATTTATAGACATTTATAGACATTTATAGACATTTATAGACATTTATAGACATTTATAGACATTTATAGACATTTATAGACATTTATAGACATTTATAGACATTTATAGACATTTATAGACATTTATAGACATTTATAGACATTTATAGACATTTATAGACATTTATAGACATTTATAGACATTTATAGACATTTATAGACATTTATAGACATTTATAGACATTTATAGACATTTATAGACATTTATAGACATTTATAGACATTTATAGACATTTATAGACATTTATAGACATTTATAGACATTTATAGACATTTATAGACATTTATAGACATTTATAGACATTTATAGACATTTATAGACATTTATAGACATTTATAGACATTTATAGACATTTATAGACATTTATAGACATTTATAGACATTTATAGACATTTATAGACATTTATAGACATTTATAGACATTTATAGACATTTATAGACATTTATAGACATTTATAGACATTTATAGACATTTATAGACATTTATAGACATTTATAGACATTTATAGACATTTATAGACATTTATAGACATTTATAGACATTTATAGACATTTATAGACATTTATAGACATTTATAGACATTTATAGACATTTATAGACATTTATAGACATTTATAGACATTTATAGACATTTATAGACATTTATAGACATTTATAGACATTTATAGACATTTATAGACATTTATAGACATTTATAGACATTTATAGACATTTATAGACATTTATAGACATTTATAGACATTTATAGACATTTATAGACATTTATAGACATTTATAGACATTTATAGACATTTATAGACATTTATAGACATTTATAGACATTTATAGACATTTATAGACATTTATAGACATTTATAGACATTTATAGACATTTATAGACATTTATAGACATTTATAGACATTTATAGACATTTATAGACATTTATAGACATTTATAGACATTTATAGACATTTATAGACATTTATAGACATTTATAGACATTTATAGACATTTATAGACATTTATAGACATTTAATGACATTTATAGACATTTAATGACATTTATAGACATTTGTGGACATTTGTGGACATTTGTGGACATTTGTAAACATTTATAGACAGGCATTTTTAGACATTTATAGATATTTATGGACATTTATAGACATTTATAGACATTTATAGACATTTATATACATTGATAGACATTTATGGACATTTATAGACATTTATAGACATTTATAGACATTTATAGACATTGATAGATATTGATAGACATTTATAGACATTTATAGATATTTAGAGATATTTAGAGATATTTAGAGATATTTAGAGATATTTAGAGATATTTAGAGATATTTAGAGATATTTAGAGATATTTATAGATATTTATAGATATTTATAGACATTTATAGGCCTTTATAGACATTTGAAGACATTTATGGATATTTATAGACATTTATAGGCATTTATAGACATTTGAAGACATTTATAGATATTTAAAGGCGAAGGAGGCTGCCTTTCAAAAAGAGGATCATAGGGAAGTTTAATTTCTTTTCTAGTAATCATCGTAGATAACTGGTCGATTCATGTTCAGAACTTTTGTAGGCTAGCAGGAATAGAGGAACTAAAGTGTCTTAGTCCATTTGGTTTTCAGAGACGAACATTGAAAAATACTGGAATATGGTTCTATGGTGTGTTTCCACCATGTAGCCGGACTGTGCGTGTTTTTCTGATGCCTAACAGTTTCACCAATTCTTGTCATAATTCAGATTTAAAATTTCGTCCTTGGGCAGAATGCAGTTCAGCTACTGTCTTCGCTTCCTGATTGGGAATAGGCGCTATTTCAGGCCACTTTGAAAAATAACCCATAACAATCATCAAGTATTTGTTTCCCCTTTCTGTTGAGGGAAGTGGTCCGAGGATATTATCTATGGTGATGTGTTCGAAAGGTTCTCCGAAAAGATATGCCATTTTGCCTCGGCTTCTTATTTTGGGCCGCTTCCTGCCATTGCATAGATTACATTTCTCATACCAATCTTCCTACATCCTGTTGACAATTTACCCAATAAAATATTTCCCGAACACGTGCCAGTGTCCTGTTAGTATCAAAATGTTCTCCTGAACGGCTGCTATGTGATTTCGGCAGTACCACTTGGTGGAATTCATTTACTCTATCTGGGCTCTCCCACTTTCAGTGCAATAGGGAATTTCATTGAGTCCAATACACTTTAATAGTTCCACTATATCTGGCTGTCTTTTTCCAAGTAGGTCTGATTCCATTTTTGAGCCATTCTCGGACAACCTTCAAGTTATTGCCTTTCTTTTGAGTCTTTCTCAGGCTTTCAAGGGTGAATTCGTCTTCGTCATCTTCTGGCTTGATAGTGGTTGTCCGAAGAGTAACTTCTTTAACTGGTTCTTTTCGTTCTCGGAGCCTTTTACAGTACCGGCATTGTCGTTCTAAATAGGAACGAATATCTGCATTGATATGGAGTCAGTCTGTTTGAAAACGTAAAATACGATCGAGAGGCAGCGATTTTTGCGTCGCCTTACGCATATTTCAATTCGCACCGCGAATCGACGTGTAAGGGTATTTGCATTGGCTCAAAAAAAAACTTTAATTTCAATTTTTTGCTTAACATTTTTACAGAGATTTTCCCTTTTACTGACATTTTATTCGACATTTTACATACAAAGTCAAATGACATTGGCTTTTGCATTAAATAAATTGATGATTTTAAAAATAAAATGAATAAAAAACGAGATCAGTTTGAACACTTTTGGAATAAGACTCAAAACATTGGCTTAGAGCATGAAAGAAAGAGAATTAGAATTAATAATGTCGGCGACAGAGAAACCTCCTATCGTCGATTATACGCCGAAATTTTTAATAATATTTTACAACAAATGAACCCTTGATTTCAAACCTTTAATGAATTAAAATTTGTTGAATTGTGCAATTTTAATATTAGTGACTACGATGCATCAAAATTTCCATCGAAAGCTTTTAATTTCACTAAAATTAAATTATGGAAATTTTTGCGATATTCCAGCATTAAAGTCCCAGTTAAGTGTTGTTTATGAAACAACTGAAATTAGTGATAAAAAGACGCCTGTCAATGTGTCCCTTTGTGAAGTCGTCAAGTTATGTGAATTAGTACTAACCATCCCAGTCACAAGTGCGTCAGTTGAGCGAAGTTTTTCAGCTTTAAAGCGCATTAACAGTTTTATACAAAATTCAACAAGTGAAGACAGACTCTCTAATTTAGCCCTAATATCCATTGAAAAACAGCTTGTTAAACAGTTATCAGAAAATCCAAAATTTTACGACTATGTTATAGACAAATTTGTAACCATTGAGGATAGGTGAATAGATCTTAAGTATAAATAAATGTTAACAGCTGTGTCAACTGTTCGAAAAATGTGGAAAAATAAAAATGCTTCAGTTAAATGTTTTTTTACGCTTAAATAAACCAAGGAAGCTTTTCAACGGTAAGTTTTTATATAGCTTCTATTACTAATCTAGTTAATAAAGAAATAGTAACACTTCACAAATCTTAATCTCGAATATCCGTAGTACTAAAAAAAAGCAAGATTTTGACAAAAAGGTGAATGCGTCGCGAAAAATTTTGTCTGCAGCGCTGTGCTTACTTGCCTGCTGTATTTCTATACAATCGCTTTCCCTTCCAAAAATGTTACTGCACGCCAATGATATATAATACGAATAATAGTAATAATATCTGGGGTGGGTGGCTCAGTGGTAGAGCCTCTGCCTGTGGATCCAAGGATCCCGGGTTCCAATCCCACCGTTGGCCGGAATTTTTTCATTTAATTTAATTATTTAAAATTAATTCTGATGCCTTGGTAGGATTCTCCACTCGACCATTCACTGTTGGGTTCTAATTAACAGTGCTCTTCCTAAAGTTTCGCTGGGAAATAGTAACAAAGCCTACACAGAACACGAAATAACCCTGGTAGTTGAAGCCGATGACACACCAAAAAAAAAAAATTATATCTCGTTCAATAGTGAAAATAAACCATTACACCCAAATTACTACCTACTCTTTTTTATGTTTTGTTTTTAAATATTGGTTACTATTTATAATTACGGAACACGGACAATCATTTTTAACCGACTTCAAAAAAGGAAGGAGGTTCTCATTTCATCGAAATATTTTTTATGTCCGATTTCAATGATTCTTTTTTGTTAAAAAGAAACTGCTACTTCAGGGATGGTCCCATATACATTTGGTTAAAATATAATAATTGGGTCCGCGAAACAATCCTGAAACTCTTCATTTTTTGTGTATGTTTATCGATAATTCTTTTCCATCTTGTTCGATTTCTATGATTCTCTTTGTGCTAGTAAGGGGGTACCTCCGGAGTGGTCCCTTATAAATTTGGTTAAGATATGGTGATGGCATCTGCACGATTTTGAAGTCGGTTTTTTAAAATTATTTTCATAACTTGTTATAAATTGTTGTTTGTAAAATTGTATTTACATTAACATATTTAAATCATTCTCATTTATTTCATTTTTAATTAATCTACAAAATGTCATCATCTCGCTGTTGCTTGTTCTTTAATTAGTTGCAAAAATATAAAAAAAAAGTACTGAAATAATTAAACTAATACAATAAGTGTACCCAAACTCTCCTCTTCTACTAATATATTAAACCTGAACTCTCTTATGCTATTTACATATTAAAGATTTCTTGAACTATCTATTGTAAACCATGTGAAAAGTACAAGCTCTTCGCACGACATCCAAAAAAAAGACGTTTTTCAAAAATTCTTCGGCATGACATTTTAACGGTAACTAAAACAATTACCAACCATCAATCGGTGTGTAAATTTACACAGAAATGGGTAAAATGAAATGCAAATATCGCCGTTACCAAATATTGGTTCATAATTTTTGTTTCGAAGGTTTCTCAATGTTTTTTCTAACGATTCGGTACATTGCGATCACTGGTAGAAAAGAAGAGGTAAAACAGCTTGATGCACTTAAAGTAGGATAAATATTGGTAAAATATAATACGCAAACAAGTGTTGAATTAGGATTATGATATATCTGGTATACAAGTGGAGTACTGAATCTAGTTTACTCCCTTGAAATATTCTTAAATACCTTTTGGATAAATAGGATTTGAAAAGTTCTGAGTATTGTCGTAGCCGTTCCATGTGGTCGTAACATACAATGTGAGCCACATCCAAAAAGACCATGTCTTCTATGGAGTTCCCGATAATATCTCTGATTTTTGGTAGACGGTCGAGTGTTTTTCTCTGAAGTTATATTGTTGGAAATTTATTGTTTTAAAATATTATTCAATTAGAATACGTAATGTATGATTAACCAATTTTAAGGAGTAAATTTTCAATTATAAATACGTTATGCTTTCATAAAAATAAAAACATTCCTGCAAGCAATTTTATATTAGTTGATAATAATTATGACGAGTAGTAGCAGCACTTCTAAGTGGCTACTTGTAAGTTTCAAAAATATCCACTGACAATTATGATGCAAGCAAACGCGATATTTCTAAATATTTATCAGGCACTACTGCTCTAAATCATTTAAAATAACAAATTAGCAGCCTTGTCGAAAGTTGCTACTGCCAGGAAGCCAAAACCCAGAGAGCACACGTGATTCCAATGGATGTCCATTGCAAATCCATTGATGGATATATCGGCTGTTCAGCATTTTAGAGATGGACATCCATTGGAATATACAAATGTCTTACTCTCAAGCAAAATAATAAATTAATTTGTAAGTAGGTTATAATGTGATATTATTTCACTCCTGCAACTAATTTTTATGTTAGGTTAGGTTAAAATAAATACCTATGGTCGGAGGTATAACGACAAGAGAGAAAAAAGTGAATCGGTACACTCGAAAAACGGTTCCAAAAAACGAACGCTAAGCAAGCTTTTACAACTCACTACAGGGGCGCTGGTGTTGCTAGGGATATTAAAAATACATAGATTTGATGGGAATTTTACATAATGTTGTAAAAATAATACAAAGAAACTTGTTTATTGCAAAATAAAGTACAGAAAATATTGTTTTAAGTGATGAATTATTTAATTTTATCTACATAAACCAATTTAAGTATGACCAAATTCGAAATAGTTTGTTAAATGGTGAAATGTGGTAAGTATAAACTCAGTAAACAGATTCTTTATTGTATAATAAACCTATAAAGCTTCCACTCTTTATTTTACTAACAGTACCATCGGTAAAAATAATATTTGGAAATATCTTCTAAAAAGTGTAGCTCGCAAACAGCAACATATCTAGTTCTCACATTAAAACTCTGAAGAAAACAAATTTTATTTTCAAGTAAGTTAAATTGAACGTATAATTATTGTTGTTTGTAAGTGACGATTTATGACTGTAAAATTTTATATTATAAAAATTTGTAATAAAACAAACTACACTCTGGAAAATACAGGTTTTGACTAGTTTACAATACATATTTATATATTTAGAAATAAATAAATTATTTTACTTATACAAGGAGCTTTAAAAAGAGTTTTAATTGATTTCTCCTTGTGTTTTCTTTAGTTTTGCACCTGATTCATATCCCGTTTTATAACCTGGAACGAAGTAAATTTTACTTTTATGTTTTTTGTCACTTCTGTTAGTTGTAGTCAGGTATTTTTTTTATATTATTGTGACTATTTTCACCAATTTAAAAAAACACTTTATTTCACATTGACTTACATATCAAATTAACGTCACTAACGTTCGATCCTTCAACTACAGTCAATTTGCCAAATTTTATAAAAATAAAGATGAACATTCGAAATTTGTCCATTGTCTGTTCGCCTCTTTCTCTCTAGCCTTGATAATCGGTAGTCTTTGTTTTTTAAATTTTGGCATTTTTTATAATTTATGGTTAAATAATGCTTATGTTCTTAACAAATTCTATCAAAACCAGATCTCGTGGGCAAAAACGCATAAATACATCACAAATTAATAAAATAAAATGGAACTTCTTCTTAGTGGCCTTTTTCTTTGTATTTTGTTAGCATCGTATCGAAGAGAAGAAATAATTGAATAACTGCCCCGAACTAGATTGTAACCATCAAAAAACAAATTTTACAGAAAATATTTTAAAGAAAAACAAAGCTAGTGTTTTTACAACTTTGTTCTGGCCCAGGCAACTTTTGTGAGATAAAATGAGCCTTATGATCTGTTTTAAGGTAGACTGTAGTATAATGTACTATAAAAATAAACTATATCTTATAATCTTCAAAATGTTTTGTACAATCAAGTAATTTTGGCATTTTTCTATTGTCCACCATGGACATTTTTTGTACTTTATTGGAATTACTGAATATATATAAGACATCTAGGACAATATTTGAACAAAATATGGACGTCCAATGGACGTCATGTGCGATATGGGAAAACCTAGCCCTATAAGACATAGCGGTGCGCAACGGTTATCGAAATTAAGAAAATATTAAAGTTTTAAAAATAAATTTTACGCGTGACAAAATATTCTATTAATGCGACCATTGTAAACATTCATTTTCTTTGTTTCAGTTTCCAAGAGGCCACGAATCAACGTCGACGATTGTCCTTTAGAAGAATCCGACTCGGACCAAGACGAACTCAAACGACCTCAACAACCCTCCCCAGTGAACCCTCCACCCGCTCCTCTAGCCCCCACGCCTTCGCCCGATCCCGTAACGAGTCCAGACCCTGATTTGGACGTCGAGGAGGACACGCAGGGGGAAGCCCCTGAAAATTTGTCCATTAAAAGGGAGAAACCCCCCAGTCCGGAAACGCCTCCGCACCAACAACCGACGAATTTCTTGCATTTTCATCAACAATTCGGGCAGTTTCCTCCACAGTATCAACCGCCGTTCTCCCAACGGAGTCCCATCGATGTATTGATGAGGGTGTTTCCTGGGAGGAGAAGATCCGACGTCGAGGCGCTTTTGCAAAGGTAACTATTTTTTTTCGGAATCGGAATAGTGTGAATAGTTGAAAGGTCATGTCAAATGACTTCTAGATATACAAGGTGTTATTGAGATACATGTAGATTTTAAAAAATATCAATAATTTCCCAAAGAACACAAAATTCTACTACCTACTATAGTGCGAAAGACACTGAGAATGCAATGTTAAGTCTTCTAAAGGGGGATCAGCTAAACAACAGATTCAGTCTTAGACAAATTTCGACATAGGTTTAAATTTGATCTCTAAATTTTTATGTTCAATAATAAATAATAAAAAGTGAATTTCAAAATTACAAATTTTTAAGTTAACAATAAACAAATTTTACGCAATAGATGTCATTGTGAGTCATCATAGAGGTCTGAAATCGCACTCTCAGAACTGTTGCCAAAAATTACTCTTATAATAAGTTCATTAATGTTGTCTTGAAGATTATAAGCGACCCACATTTATTCTTCCATTTTTTCTCTGACATGTGAAATGCAATTACGACATTTTTGTTTAGTGATGATTAAATGCTTCATTTATCAATGAACGAACATCCTGTGTCTTGAAAGTTGTTCGTAGCTATACACCTGATTCCATACCAACTCGTTCTGGTCAAGCTCGCAATGATACGGTGCTAAGCGTAAAACAATTACCTCATATTTTGTAACTATTTCCTCAATCTAATATTTTTCGTATTGCTCTCTATATGCGTTGGCAACTTTAAGCAGCTCAAATATTAAATTGGAGTCGTCAAAGAACATGTTTTTTCAAACAGCAAATTTTTTAATTGAGGTTTGTTTTATAAGGTGGAAAACTAAATTTACAGGAATTATATGAAGCGTTATCCATGACAACAACTTTCTTTTGTCCATTTTTGGTTACGAATCAACGACTCCTCAAACCATTACTTAAAATAGTCAGTATTCACTTCGTCATGATAACGGCCATCGTTTTCTTTGCCAAGAAAACACGCGCGGCAACAGGTAAAAATCCATCTTTTTTATCCCGCATGAACAATAACAAAACGTGAATTTCTTTGTGTAGGTACTTTACACTCACTCTCATAGAGAATCAAATAACGAACTGTCACCAACTCTTTTCTCTATTATGCAGAAGACAACCAAGCCGCTTGAATTGTTTCTGCAAGCAGGTTACTCGCTTTACCAACTTAGTCGGTTGGTTCATTGGCTAACAAATAATACTAGGTGTTATTTTCTATCATTGCTAAAAGTGAGGAACAGGTTAAACTCTTAGGAATATATTTAGACCTAAAACTAGATTTTAAATATCATATTCAAAGTTTACTTAGTCGTTTAGCAAAAGCTACTTATGCAATTAGACAGCTAAAATTTCAGTTAGAGATTGTACATTTCAAAATGGGCTACTTTTCATTATTTCATATCATTATGACGTATGGGGTTACACTTTGGGGAAACACAAGCAACCAACTTAGGATATTTATTGCACAAAAAAATGTAGTACGTACTATGACATCAAGTAGCTACAATAGTCACTGCCAACCTATTTTTAAACAGTTGGGTATTTTACCCAGTGACGGATTTAGGCTTGCTGCCGCCCTAGGCCCCGTTCGATACACCGCCTTTTTTGATAAAATGAATTTCATTAATTTTTATCCAATATTTTTAATATACATCAGCTCACATACTTTAATTTAAAAAATTTCGAAATTCTTGCACTTGGATTTTCAAAAATTATTGAAATTTGTAGATGTAATTGAAGATTTTGCAAATATGAGAAATATCGAATTAATTTTTTTTTATTTTAGATAAAACTTTCAATTTTTTAACAGTTATTTTGATGATTTAAAAAATTGAATATGGAAAAAGACAGGATTTATTTTTCATAAAAAATTATTTTTATAAACAAAAAATGTTCTGACACTTTTAAATGAATATCATAACGATATTCAATACCCCTGAAAAAAAAATACTGAGACAAAGAAAAAAGTATTGAAAAGTATTGGATTGAATAGAAAACCAATACTTTTTTCTTTATGTTATTACTTTTTTTTTAATCAGGTACATGCAAATCTTCGGTATTTTTATTTCACACTATAAACAAATAGAGAAGTCATTCGGATTTAATAATTTCAAAATGTTTCATACACGTAAGATTAATCTCACTAAAGGAACAAAAAGTAAAGAATATTACTCGATAAAGTCTATAGTTAATCGATTAAAAAATTAATATGTTACTCATACAGATTGAGAAGTAAATTAATGAATTGAATTATAATATTTTCTATCGAAATTTTTTTATAAAAAATAATCTGAACCAATTTTTGAAATTGATTGTCTTTGCTTTTTTGTGCCTCTAAAATTTTGGCATTTCATAAATTTTGCCGCCCTTCAAATTATGCCGCCCTAGGCCCGGGCCTCATGGGCCTAGGCGTAAATCCATCACTGATTTTACCACTACCCGTTGTTTTATTTTAGAGTGTCTTTAATACATAAATTGGTAATATTAATGTTATAAGACAGAGCTCTAAACATTCTTATTGCACCAGAGGAAATTATGATATATCTTTACCTAATTACAGATTAACCAAACTTCATGATTCTCAATCTTATAAAAACTGATCTTTTAATTTATTTAAAATAAGAATTCGCAAATTTTTGTCGAGTCACTGCTTTTATTCCATTGACGAATTCTTATCACATGTGTCCATCTGTGCATGTGAGTAATGTGTAAACCTTTTTAGTGAATATACCTTTTTTTTTGTATGTTTTAATATGTTATGTGTATCTATATATTTTTTTTGTCTATATTTTTCTCAATTGTAACTGTATTTACTGCCTCTATACCTATATATATATATATATATATATTTTTTATACTTTTAACATTGACACATGTAAATTATTTATTTTTATTTTACATCAATAAATATCTATCTATCTATAGAAACCACAGGCTTTACAAAATTTTAAGTTTAAATATCTCATATTCGTTCACTTAAAAAACTCTGGTCTGCCTGTTAAAATGTTCGCACTAATATTCAGATCTAAAACCAGATTGGTTGATGAAAAGTATTTTTCTTTGTCAAATATTCCTGCAATTGTTTATAAACTACCAATTCTAATAGTTTCTCAGCAAACGGGGCGGAATTCACTACTCTTATTTGTATTTTATATCCTTTCAAAATGTGTTATAGTACTATATTTTTAGTTCATAAGAAATGTACCTGGATCCAATGACATATTTAAAAAATAACACCAGAAAAAAAATTACTTTTTAAAATTTTACTACTTACACAGAAAAAAAGGTGTACTATATTCAAGATGAATGGTCTTATTTCAATGCTTTGTTGTGTTTGCATATCCGCAAATAAAACTCGTCTTGATTTGAAATTCTAGTAATACTTGTTCAACAATAGCTAATAAGCCTTGCTTCAAGATTAAAATCAACTTGCCCTAACTAAAATACCTCTAATTAAATGAGGAGTATCTATTGCTCAATTGCAGTATTATGTACATCTTAAATGAATATTCATACACTTTTTTTTAAATATACTTTATTTATATTCTATAATACCTTGTTCTTAAATCCAATACAACTAAATTTGTTGCAATAATAATATGAATTGTTCCAAGAAATGTTAATATTGGCTTTGACATAAATATTCATTTTGGTTGATTTATATGATAGTTTCATTCAAGTAATCTTGAAATAAGAACATTTTTTAAAATTGGTTTTAGTTAATGTACCAAATTCCTCTGTCCTCTGAGGTGTCCCACCTATAATTAAAAAAAAATATTTTATAATATTTTATAACTACAAAACCTAAATGGAATATAAAAGTTTGTCTAGCTGAAATAAGAGGTCGAATCTACAAAAAGAATATTTATAGTAAATGTAGGTAGGTAGATAATTACGTCCTTTTAGACTTCGCAAATATGTTTTGCATATTTTACTAACCTTTTCTTATAATTATGGTAAATATTTTCTAATGCAAATAGGCCTTTACTATTTTGTGTCATAATAAAATGTAAGCTTATTAAATTTGTAAGAATCTTGAAATCGAAATTTTCGTAGATACGACCTCTTGTCTTAGCAAGACTGAAGTCGTCTTTCCAAAAAGTCGTCATCCTGGATCAAAGGTTTTTTTTTAATTCTATTCCAGTTTGTTTTATGTTATTTTGATTATAAATTTACTTATATATAATATAACACCTAACAAGAAGTAAAATAAATATACTAAATTTAAATATTGGTATCAGGTTGCTGATCCATCTAACAAATCTTCCTTTTCAATTTAATTTATTCATACACTTAATAACTGAATCACAAAGAATTTCTAACAAAAAGTAGAACGCAACCCTATACGACGCAAACTTGTTAGAAAATGGACAATAGGATGGACACGTGCTAATGCCAATTTGCCAGATTCTCTATAAATGCGTTGTGTCTCTGACTTCCGTATCACGTCTCAACATGTACCAGTCAAATATCTATTGTACCAGTGTATTTTAAAATAAGTTTCAGCTGACAAAACCGTGAAGTGAATTTGTACTCGCTAATCTTTTGTGAAGTACATAGGTTTTTGATTTGAATTGGTTAATTCTTGTTCTAAAATTTAAATGCTTTAAATCGAATTCTTTTATAACGTTGAATCAAGTACGCGATAGTCGTTTTTAAAAGCATATCATACTTACAATAAAAGTAAAAGCTTTCTTGGGTTAATTAATAATTTTAGACTCGAATGAAATAATTTATTTCCATATTATTTATTATAAATCTTAAAATACAAGATTTTGCCTACACTTCACTCAAAATTTATTTTTTTATTGTATCGACAAATATTATTTGAAGCAAACTGCTTTATTTCAAAAAAATATAATCTTGCAAGTGTAAAACTTTTCTTGAATGCAGCTGATAATTTTTTTCTGTGTAATGTATCGATTTGTTAACTTTTCTTGTCCAAATTTAATACAATGCTCCCTAACTCATATAAACTTAAAACATTTAATTAAAGTAAACTATTTTCGTTACGTTGAATGTAATAAACAAACTCAACATCCTTAATACTGGATAAATTATTATCTATTCTTTCAATAAAAAGCCTATTAAAACTATAATCTAGTTCATTACTGTTTTTTATATGCACACGTATTTTAATAACACCCTAAATACAGGATTAAATTAGGGGCCTTTATTATTTATAGTAATATAGTAATGAATACTTTTCTGTTGTTGCAGGTGTAAAGGTGACGTCCTTCAAGCAATGGAACTAATGGTCAGCGGTGCCCACGAAGACATGTCAACGCCATCGGCGTTCTCACCACTAGGTCCACCTACCAATTTTCACCGTTACAGTCCTTCCAGAAGATTCCTTTCGGCACCGTACGCGGGTACGGGGTATTTACCCACGGTAATCAGACCGCCCCCGGATTATTTGTCACTCGTGGGGCCGGTACATGACGTCTACAAGAACGAGAGTACCACGGCTTCTTCGCCAGGATCTAATACCGGCTCTGATAAAACGAGCTACTCTGAATAACACCAGTTTTAGGATAATATGAATAAATGTAAGTGTCAGTTGTGGATGAATGGTTGTAAGAGGTTCAGTTGATGGATAAATTTATTATTATACTATTAATATCAATATGTTGGATGTATTTAAAAATTTGCATTTGAACACAGTTTAAAAATCAAGTGCAAAAACCACTTATAAGTAAATATAATTTATTTATGTAATATTTAATAATATTGGTAGACCATTCCGAAAATATTTTTATTGATTTATTAGTCTTTCTTTTACGGAATCAGAAAACAAAAATGTCGAATAGATCAAATTAATAATAGATATTGTCCGAATCTTAAAAGCGATTTATTCAAAATCGTCGTATATCTAAACCCCATTAAAGCGCTCCCCCAGCATCTGCTCGTCTAATAAATCCCTCACAGTGGCAAACAGGGAGAAAATCACCACAGTTTAATTCGCACAATAACCGCGTGCACACGCCACTGTGTTTACAATATAATTTATACGATCTGGTAGCTACAGGCTAACAATAGAGGCTAATAACTGGCTTCATGTATTCAATATAGAGTCGGGGCAGGGTCTCTCTCCGTGATGAAAAGCAAAAGGGATGAGACTTGATTCATATGTATTTTATAATTAAATTTTGATGTGATTGTTCGGCTGGAAAGTCCCGACTATACTCCTGAACTACGAACGGGAGGGATTCCGTTTTTAATTGTTCGAGGAGTTTAATAAAATTTATTTTGTATTCTGTTTCCGATACTTCTTATTTTCAATATGAAACGTTAAGAATGATGCGAATTTGGAATTTCTTTTATCATTAAATAATAGAGGTGGAGAAAAATTTATGAAAAAATAATTTTTCTTTGTTGGTTTGAGATTAAACTTTTCGCGCAGTAAATTACATTCAAATCAATCTAAAATTTTAGTAAAATAATGACATTTATGTTTACAAATTTGTTTGGTTTCAAGATTTTTTCATATAAGACAACTTGACAACACAGCTCTAAATGATTAAAATTACAGCCATTGGGTGAGATAACAGAAAGTCTGTGACTTTACAGATCTGCAAATATGGCGGCAACTTTGAAGCTCTGCAAATATGACGGACTTACAGATGCAAGTATCAAGTTTTCGTATTCCAAAAAATATCTGCAAATTCGCAATATTTATTTTGGTTTATTAGTCCCAATAATACTAATCCCAAATCCATTACTATGTTTAAAAACTCGATAATTTGACACCACGAACTGTATTCAATCAAAAGGAACAGAAGACTTCATGGTTATTAAAAAAAATAAAGTAAAAATTGACAATCTGCAAGTTTGTAGAATGTTGTAACCTCCTGCAAAGTTACGGATGATTTGCAGACGCAAAAAGTGAAAACACGTTTCAGTAATACCATGTTTCTCTTTTGCAACTGCAACTGATATTTGCAAATGCAAGTAGGATTTACAGAGCTTCTTTAAAGTTGCCGCCATGTTTGCAGATCTGCAAAGGTGCAGACTTTCTGTGTAAAATTGTTACAACTTCATTAAGCAATATTTTATTAATATTATACTGCATGGGCATGTATATGAGAATAAATATAAATAAATTATTTAGAAGTAAATTGATATTAAAACACTATTATTGTTTATTATTCGCGGTCATAACCAGCCAATAGAATAATTATAAATTGTTACAACGTCACCAAATATTATCAGTTAAAAAGTAGTACATGTAACTTACTCAATTTTTTTTTTCAACAAGGAAATTTGGCATATATTTCGCAGAAGATTATTTGGTACTTTCTCAACTCGTGCGTTAGCAACTCGGGCGTGATGAAAAACTACCTGAATTCGTCGCAATTCGAGCGCCCTCCAAAATTGTGTACCTGTGGTTCGCAAATCTGGCGTCGACGGGATATAAAATTTGACCAAAGTGTATGTTCTCTGATTCTTTTTACAGTCTGATTCAGATAGTAATGACATCGTAATGAATTATCGAGAATTTAAGAGAAGTGAATAACATCGCAAAACAAGCTTTGTTTTAACAGATAGCAAACATTAAAAAGTTAGTCGATGTAAAAAAATTGAAGATTTTTTCATTACGGATTTTAGAGAAATCATGTATGGAACAAAAATTATAGAGAATGATATTGGGTTTATTTTCAAAATATTCGCTATTTATAAAATATTTTCATTAATAATTTGGGCACTAGTGGTATTATAAGTGAAACTAATGAGAAAAATTAGAATTTTGCACTTTTTGTCAAATATTTCAAATACGAACCATTTTAAGGAAATCATGAATATTATAAAAATTACAGAAAATAACATCACAAGCAACTTTTATTTGAACCATCTTCTTTTCCAAGCGTAAATTACAGATAAAATAGAAAAACAACCCTCTATAAATCCATACAACACAAAAAAAAACATTGAACTATTTGTAATATATAAATATTACTAAACGCCCCAGAAACATTTTTGAGATGTTCCTGAAATGTAAAAATATCCTGTAAATGCAATATTTTATAAATAATAATTTGAAACCTTTCAGAAATATAACATAATAATATTTCAGAAATGTATCCGAGAACAGACGCAAACTCACAATTATTTAGAATATATGGTTGTCTCTAGATATAGGCTGAAATAATATTATATTACTTAAAATAAAATGAGTACAACATAACATAATCCATCTTCTTCCTCTTCTTACAAATGAGAAATTTTTCTTGGCCATTTCCAACATGTTTAAAATGTTCGAAAAATTTCTAAAATAATAGAGAGTTGAAGTGATGCTATGAACGTAAACGTATACGTGAAAATTGACATCTACGCATGTGTATTTAAATATCCTTCACGTTTACGTCTGCGTACATACGCAAGCTTACGGATTCTGGGGTATGTACGCAGCGAAAACAAAATTACTTTATTTTAATTGGGAAAGAAGTAATCCTGATATTAATTGTCATTATCTGCCATGACACGTAAATGTCTCGATGATTTTAACAACTTTGACTCAGATTTTGGACTTCAACGTAAACATTATATTTCTGCGTTGACGTTCACGTTTACGTTAATGTACTGGAAATACTTCAACTCTCTAATATGTCTCAATGAGCAACACGTACGTAAAAAAACGTTAAAAGATTAGAATACAATAACGTTTTTCATACGACTTGTTTTTTTAGTTTAAACCAACGTTAATATTCTAATGTTTAAAACGTTTAAAAATATTATTAAAATAAAGTAAAATTATTAATATTTTTGGTTAAAATATAAACCAAACGTTAAAGTGTTCTGATACAAAAACGTTTTTATTACGAGTTTTATGTAATTTAAAAAACGTTCATATTAAACGTGTATCCTAATATTCAACTTTCGGTTGAATCACAATTACATAATAACTTTTAAAAAGAATATTAAAATAAACTAGAATAAATAGTATTAAAATAACGTAGATATTTGGTTAACATTATTAACCAATTGTTAAAAAAGTTGGAATACAATAATGTTTTCTATACGACATGTATTTAATTTAAACTAACGTTAATATTTTACATATATTTAACATAATGATTAACTTTTAGTTACATCACAATGTTTATAAATAATATTAAAATATAGGTAAATAATTAATATTCAAATAACGTATACATTTAGTTTAAAAAATAAACTAAACGTTAAAATGTCACGATATAACGTTTTTAATACGTTTTTACGTAATTTAAAATAACGTTGATATAAAACATATTATTTACAAAAAAAAAACTCGGTTTATTTATAGTATCAATCGAGATATTAAACGTTAATTATAAACGAGAAAATAACATTATAAAAAAACGTATTATTTTATAAAATTTTCAACATTCAGTCAAAAATAGTTAGAAAAATACGTTATAAAATAGTATTTTATAAACGTTTAAGTTTTTAACTAAAATTTCAACGTTGAATTTTCAACCAATAACTATACGGCTCAAAAAATGTGACATCTGATGGTTATATTTTAGGTTTTAGACCATGCACAACTTTTTATGCTAAATAAATTTTTTTGATAAAACTAATAACAAAAGAGTTTTCCATATGTAGCCAACTTACGCAGACACACTGAACATATAAAATGTATTAAAATAAAAATTAAATAGCTAGCCGAGGTAGGTACACTATTATTTATTAATCTAATTATAATATAAAAAATAAATTGTGCTTTTTTCAATAAAAATGACAATTTCAAATATCATAACAATATAATGAAAAGACTATTTTCGCCAAGAAAGATAATTAAAAAATCTTCGTTTAATGAAAGTTACATAATATTTAAAACCTGGCAAGCTTCTCTTGTATGGCACTCCCTACATAATTTTAAGCCGAAAGGACCTTCTCAGGTCAAACTAAAGAGGTGACATTTATTACATTGATATAATATTGGTACCGATCCTTGAACGCCCGAGTTCCGAAGGGTATGTAAGCTCACTATGTAGCCTTACGCCTGAAATGCGAAAAATTAAGTATTCCGCTCGAGTTGCGACGCACGATATGCGCATAAATCGATTATTTGAATCTGCTTTCGAAAACTCAAAAGATTCAAAAAAACAGGAAAATAAAAATATAAAAAATGTAGATTTTAGTTTTAGTTCAAAACTGAAACAGACACAAAAAGTCTTTGGGGGTCGGTGATGGTCTTAATAATCCGTAGGGGGATTTTTGAGATTTGTTTCCGTATTTTCAAAATTATTCTACAACTTATTTCAGATAATCTAATCTTTTGATTTCGATTTGTGATCTACGATGTATTAAATTGACAATTTTCAAATAAATAAATTTTACGAAGAAAAGGATTAAACTTTGAAACTTGTTGCGTATTTTTAATTATATTAAATCATTTATTTATTGGAGGTATGTGTATATTTGGATTTTCATTTTAATTTACGAAAATTGACCACCTATCCAAATATGATAGTTTAAATTGCTCCATAATTTTCATTCCAGTTTTGAAAATATTATATATTTTCTAAAATTTTAAAATAATCTCTTTTGGTTCGAATTTAACTTTTTTAAAACCTTTCAAGTAGTACAATTAAGGCAATCGGTTGCCTAATGTGTACCAGATGGTTTCCTAAATTGTACTATGCTTTATTACGTACATAATATTTTATTTTGGATTGAAATAATCAATCACTAGT